AAGCATTGAAGGAGCTAAACTGGTCGCAAAGTAAGTTTAAAAGGATTTTTGTGTGGATCAAAGTACGCAAAGTATTGCTTTAGGTTCTTCTCACAGTTAGGCGATCATGCATCCGCTATTCGATTCTTGGTTTTGAGCAACTGCCATCAGGTAACTTTTCTTGTAGGATTGAGAACTCTTTGCGCTAATTTATTTTATCTTGATTTAGGAAGCCTTCCAACTCGCTGAGGCAACAGACCACGTTGCTGACTATGCCGATTCTATCGAAGCCGATGGTGCGAGTCAAGATCAGATGGCTCAACTGGCCGAGTATTTTGCCAATTCTGGCGATACACACAATGCTGGCAGATTCTACCTGAGAGCTGGCCATTATAGAGCGGTACTGAACTGTAGAAAATTGTACCCAAAGCCTATAAAAAGAAACATCTCAGGCGCTAGAGTACCTCATGACCTGTGGAGAGAACCACGAATCACTGGTGCTTGCTATAGAAGCAGTGGCTGCAGCTGGCGATGAGAAACTGACCGCGAGATTAACGGATTATCTCATGGGCGAAGTAGATGGGATACCGAAAGTTAGATGAAATTGTCTATTATAGATAAAACAGGGACTCTTAACCCTTTTTAAGGATGCAAAATACTTGTTTCGCCTATATGTTGCCCTCGGTATGACTAGAGAGGCAGCCACTACAGCTGTGGTGATAGCACGACAGGAACAAGAGCATGGATCATATACAGTAGCAAGGAATGTACTCTTAGCTATGTATCAGGTAAGAGTCTATTCCCCAATTAAATATATTCGTGGGTAGAGTAGAGAGACGGTCCTTCTGTACCGCTTTGTCGCCCCGCCCACTCTTATCTACGTCTGTGATTGGTTGGGTTTGGGCTTGATTAGGTGATTGGTTGACGAGAGCGGGCGGGGCGCCAGATTTACAAAGCCCCCCCTAGCAATTGCGCTTTTCCATTAAAAAAAGTTTGAATGACTGCTAAATAACCGCCAGACTAGAAAGGTTGGTTTTTTAAACAAATGACTATAAATATATATTCACTTTGTTCTGTACTCTTACGATCAGGAGTAAAATTAGGAATTTATCAAGTATTATTTGGTATTAGTTCTTAGAAAATGTGCGTAACTGGCAAATTTGATTTTTTTTCAGGAGCTGGTTGCCAAAG